TTGAAGAAAATCAACAAGCAGAACGCCTTTACAGTCCCAGAACACTGTAGCCAAGACCTTCCCTGCAAACAACCGCGTCTTCACTTTCACCGGTGCACTCTCGCCAGTCTTCCGTCACTCCATACTAGCCCTCTTCGATTCAGGGATGTAATGATGGACCCAAGTCTCATCGCACGTGACGATATTTTCCAAAAGCGTCAACTTCCCCCTCGTACCTCGTTAGGAGCCTCCGAGAAATTTCAAACCGCACGTTTTTTTTGCTCTGCATTCAGCAACTTTGAAACCCAACGAGCCGACATTTTTCAAAATCCCAACTCATTATGAATGATTGATTACACACTTCCATAGCTGATCTGAAGTTTCTGAGAGATTTCAAGAACAGTTAAGTGCCGATCGCCTTCGATGAATTCTCGAGCAACCTCGGTGTTCTGCGCTGTGATGCTGGTGCGTGGACGACGCGGGTGGGCAATGTTTTCAACACGATCTCGTCCTTTCTTAAATTCGTTACATCACTGCTTCACCCGAGCCCATAAAAAGGTTCTTTCTCCGAACTGTGGAAGTAAACGGCGTCGAATTTCAGCAGCATTTACATTTTCGTTGACGAGAAACTTAATAATAATACGTTGTGCAACTGCGGGGTGTACCGCTTTCTCGCTCATCGTGATTGCTGCTGAGAGTAAGAAGCACGTGACGCGCCAACGTTATTACTGCCTTCCACATGACCCCCCTCTATCGTCCAAAACGTTGCAGACCCCTCACGCCGCCGATGGGCGCGCAATTTAAAAAGGCTCGTTTATATTTGATCCACCCTTGTATGATATTCGCGAAGGAAATTCAGATGATTTTCGTTCGAGGTGGCAACAATTTTCTTACGACCCGAGGTGATTGCATTAGATCTTGGAATACGCCATATTGATATTTTAATAAAGACGTACATTGATGTCGGCTAATCCAAAATAAAAGTTGATAGATGTACGTCGCCTTTGAAGAGAGACAGGCGGCCTGGCTGAGGCAACTCAAGTTGACAGCAGGTGAAGATTTCATCCCTGTAAGGCAGGTGATTCGCTCAATACATAGCAGAAACTGACAAGACCGACAAGATCGAAAGAACCGCGAAGACTGAGTAAAAACTGACTTGAAAAATCGCAAGGACTGAGTTGACACTGACTGAAGTTTAAACCGAAACTAAGATTCGCGAGACTGACTTGAGAAACTGACTGACTAAGAACCGCGGCTGCACTGAACTAAGAAAACACTGCCTAACTGACTGAATTGCAGAGACTGCCCGGACTGCGTGAACTGAACTAAAAAGAACTTTTACTACTACTATTGCCGCGAAAATGAGGTTCTTATTTATAAGCTCGTTTTTTGTCTCCCTCTTTCTTTTGCAGTCGCGATGGTCAGCATTTTCGGTAAGAACACCAACGAACTTAACGTTCCACAGTGTTCATAGGTTTACTGAGATAAGATGAGAGACTGAACATGCATGTCCGTTCTCTCGGAGCGGAAAAATTTAGTTTATCTAAGTCGCATATGATGTCTGAAACATAGGTTTAGAAGGCGCGGAGTTATTCGATCCATTCCGAATTTTTCTATTAATGGTGAGGTGACACGGGCCATAAATTTATGATTAATTTAGGTCGGTATTGGTGAAAGATTTTACGCTGTGTATGTGTGTGATAACAACTCGCTTATCGAGTGGCTTCAGGTTACTGCTCACGCAGCTCCCCTGAGCGTGGGTTGCGCGATTAATTTTGGACAGCAGTAAACGGTTGTCAGTCGAAGTATTCACATGAATAAGGAAGACTAAATAAGGAGAGCAGAGAAGAAAAAAAAGAAAGGAAAGAAAAGGAGAAAAGAATGAAAGCCATAAGTGTAAGGGAGGAGAGGAAGATCTTTGAGCAGCTAGTGAGGATAAGTGCATTAATGTCATGAAGAGGTAAGGCGTTCCTCGTTCAATTGTATTCAATTTCTGATTTCTTATAGATGTATGAAAGAGCACGTCGGGTTCCTGGAGCAAGGACCAGGTGGGAGAAGGTGGACTTAGTGAAGGAGCGGTATTACTCCTAGTTGGACGCCGAGGTGTTTTGAATAATTGGAGAGAACTGGAACGAGCCCTGGCCGTGGAATACATATGGATTTTGCAAGTTGTTTGGTATAGAGAAAATGTAAATGATAAAAGGAGAAGAAGAAGAGAAAAAAAAGAATAAAGTGCAGGGAAGAAAAGAGAAAAAAGTAATTAGTTTATTTTTTGCCGCGCCTTTCCCTTACCATGATTCCATCTCCTATAGATTGAATTAGGCTACGCGCGACACGTGATCCAAGGGCGTGGAGGGGGGGGGGGGGTTTAACGGGTTNTAACGGGTCTGTGGTGGCGCGCATGCTGAGTGACGGGGCCCGGCACAATTGAAGTTCTCGGTGCTCCTGTGCCCGATCTGTATTGAAGTACTGGCCACAGTTGATAGGTGGGGTTAAGTTTCCCATGATGAAGACTTCAAAGTGAGTTTATTTTTCCGAGAATAATTATATTGTTGGTCGGGACGTAAAAAAACATTATATATTAAGTTCCTATAACTATGCGGTAGTTAATAACAATACGAACGGGGTTACAAACTAATATTGTAATTGTTTTTAGAAGCTGAAACGGCCCCGATATGTTGTCACCAGGCGATTACCGAGGTGAAAGAAGAGTAGGAAAAAGAAAAGCGAAAAGGAAGAGCGGTAAAGAAAGTGAAGGAGGGAGTTTCGGGGTACTTCGGGACGCAACAATATATACAGAGTGAATCAGTTAAAGTGTGACGAACGTATATCTCAGAAATAAAGCATTTTACAGAGTAATGTTTCATATAAAAGTTGTTCGATTTCGAGAAATGCATAAGATGGTATCATTGGTTTGACCTTGGATAATCTTTTGAAGGTCACATGAAGATCACTTTCAATTTCTTAAACGGGAATTCCTACTTTTTATTATATATTTTTGTAGCTTACCTTTAGAATTTCTCAAAACATTATAATAAAATATAGTATAAAATTATAGCATAGTATAGTATAAAATAAAAAATATTTTTATATTAAGAGCTTTTCGAATTATGAAGGCATGAAAGACGTGAAAGTTGCAGTACTGCCGACATTAGCACTACCCAAGGTAGGTATAAGTACAAAACAATTCGTCATTCCCATAGTATTTTCTGATTACAACGCTCTTAGCTCTGTGTATGTGTGTGTGTTTCAGCAGAGATAAGTACCCCACGGTTCGTCACTCGTAGTATTTTTTGACTCCAAACCTTCTCTGCTGTGTGTCTTGGATAGTATTAATGCCGGCAGTACTGCAACTTTCAAGCCTTATAACTCGAAATGTATTTAATGCAAAAATATTTTATTATACTGTTTTGAAAAGCTTTCGAGGTAAGCTGCAAAAATATGCAATAAAAAGTAGCAGTTTCCATTTGTAACGGTGCGTTCGCACCGAAGCCCCCCGCGACCCGACCGACCATCCGTCGGATCGCTCACCGGCGCTTTGCGCCACATAAACTCACATGACACGAAACTCACGTGACACGCCTCATCCAGAGGCGAGATCACATGCATGTCAATGAATATAAACACCGGCCCGCCAAAGCAACGGTCGGATATAAAATCCGACCGGCGGAGGCATCGAGGCCGATTCCGCCGGAGTCAGCCACAGCGATCCGATCGCTGGCTGCTCCGGGCCCCGATCTTCCGTGCCGAGGAACCAAGACGGTGTGTTTACCGTCCCAGCTGCGT